TTCTGGACACAGGCAGTATAGAGTCCATTATTTCATTCAAGAACTTGAAAACTTTAGATCCTAACGTTGTTGTACGACCCACTGAAGTATCAATACTGGGGATTACTGGACACAGACTGCCCATACGAGGATGTTGTGAATTGCTAATCAGAGATGATAATTCTTCATACATACCTTGTGAATTTTTAGTTAGCGAAACAGGACTGTCAATATTGGGTTTAAAGAATCTGAAAAGGCTTAAGGTGGAGTTGTCCTTCTTAGTTTCTAAAGAAAATTCTGATACTTTACTTAAAGATTTGATAGCTATGTGTGCTAAGTGCAGTGGAGGTATGAAAATTAAGCCTATAAAACTTCAAGTACAGGGTGATCCCGTCTTTCTTAAAAGACGAATAATTCCTTATGGTCTTCGAGAAGCAGTACATAAGACATTAAACGATTTGTGTGTGAAAGGCATAATTGAACCAATTCAGTCTTCAGCATGGGGTACTCCTATCGTTACGCCACTGAAGTCGGACGGCAAGACCCCTAGAATTTGTGGTGACTATAGATTAACTCTGAATTCCCGTTTGTTGAAGCAAACGTGCACGACGGTAGAAGCTGAAGATATTCTAAATCGACTTCATGGTTCTAAAGTGTTCTCGAAAGTTGACCTAAAAGATGCTTATCTTCAAATTCCTTTAGATAAATCTTCATCTATTTTGACGACAATTAACACTCCTTTTGGTCTGTTCAAATACAATTTCCTTCCATTTGGTCTAAGTTGTTCTCCAGCCATATTTCAGGAACTTATGAATAATGTAGTTAGTGATCTTGAAGGTGTTGAAGTTTATCAAGATGATCTCATTGTTCATGGCTCTAATAAGGTAGTTCATGACCAGAGACTTATTGCTTTATTGCGTCGTTTAATTGAGAAGAATATAACAGTGAATCCAAATAAGTGTTCATTTTGTGTATCTAGTTTTGAATGCCTTGGATACCTAGTTGATCGTAATGGTTTTAGACCAGATATGAAACGACTAGCTCCACTGACTAATGCACCGTCTCCGAAAAATCTTACAGAATTACGTTCACTAGTGGGTGCTCTTCAATACTATTCTCGTTTTATTCCTAATTTTTCTTGTCGTGCAAATTGTTTATTTAATATTTTAACATCCAATTCATTCAAATGGAGTGAGGAACAAGAGTCATGCTTACGAAGTCTGCTGAAGTTTCTTCAAAGTGATGCTGTTCTTCGAACGTACTCCCCTAATGTACATTCTGTGCTTATTACTGATGCATCACCTGTGGGAATTGGTGCAGTTTTGGAACAGGAAGGTAGACCAGTTATTTGTGTTTCACGCAAACTTACTGTTACTGAACAAGGTTATTCACAGACTCAGCGAGAAGCATTAGCTGTGTTTTGGGCTGTTAAAAGACTTCATAAATATTTATTCGGAAAGAAATTTACTATTGTTACTGATCATGAAGCTTTAAAGTTTATTTATCATCCCGAAAAATCCTTAGCACGTTCCTCAGCAGCTATGGTTCAGCGATGGAGTATTGCTTTGAGTGCATATGACTATACCGTTCAGCACAGAAGTGCCAAACAGATTCAACATGTTGATTACATTTCTCGACAGTCATTACAAGATAAACCTATTATTACTTCGGATTGTTTGTTAGTGCAACCTTTACCAGTGAGACGTTCAGATCTCATTAGAGAAACTCGTAGATATTTTGGATGTATACTCAGTGCTATAAGGAAAGGTTGGAATGCTAATTTGAAACGGAGATTTCCCATCTATTTTTCAAAGCGAGATGAGCTATCTACTACTCCTGATGGTATTCTGTGTTTAAATGATCGTGTTGTCATTCCTCCTTCATTGCGTAAATCTGTTCTTGAAGATCTTCATAGGGGTCATTTAGGTGTTGAGAAAATGAAGTCCTTGGCAAGGCTCACATGTTGGTGGCCAGAGATAAATGCAGATATATGTCGTACGGCGAACAATTGTGAGAAATGTCGTCAGTTGAAAAGTCATCCTTCGAAGTGGGTGCCATGGCCAGTATCGTCTGAGGCCTGGCAGAGGATTCATGCTGACTATTGTGGACCATTTCTTGGTAAATACTACGCACTGGTAGTCATTGATTCTTTTTCCAAGTGGCCTGAAGTTTTTTTCACAACTTCACCAAATTCTGATTTCACAATACAAGCATTAAGAAAGGTGTTTAGTCGAGAAGGTGTTCCCTTGGTGTTGGTGACTGATAATGGCTCACATTTTGCTGCGGATGCAGTCACTACCTGGTTGAACGGTATAGGGTGCAAGCATCTATTTACTGCTCCCAGACATCCGTGTTCTAATGGTCAGGCAGAGAATTTTGTTAGGACATTAAAGACTGCTATTGATTCTATAGCCCCCTCAACATTTAATGAGCTGGAGAGGGGAGTAGATACCTTTCTATTGCAATATAGAAATGCCAAACATTCTGTGACAAAAGAGACTCCAGCGAAGCTATTGAAAGGAAGAATTCTTCGGTCGAATATGAGATGCCTAGAGTCTGCAGAAGTTACATACTATCGAGGAAATGATCTTCGACCATCTACGGGTATTGTTCTGAAGAATGTCGGAAAATCGATGGTGCGAATTCTAGACATCGATGACTTAAGTACACACAGTCGACATGTAGATCAAATACAATTTCAGGAACCAGGTGAGTCAGTTCCAATTTCGATTGTTAATTCTAATGCTAATGAGCATATTCTAGATAATACAGAATCCTTATCCAATACAATGTCAGACAGATTCAGGATGAATTTGAGAAGAAGACGTACTATTGATTACAAACACCTAGACTCCAATTTAAGCTGTGGCGGATGTGGTGTTTGAATGGACTAATGATACCTTTGTACTGGTTGAATGCTTGATTTCAAATTCTAAATACAATACATTCGTTGGTGCCTGTGTCTTCTTAATTCAATTGCGTTAATCCTGGAATTCCTAATTCATACGATAATTAGAATACTATATCCGCTCATCGTTTTAAACGCCTGGACTGAGAGCAGATAACTTTTGTCCTTTCCTGAGATAGTCTCGCATACACTTGACTTATTAATTCCATTTTCTTTTATTAGTTGAAGAGCTGTCTTTTGTTACCTTCAGCTGCCACCCTTTCCACCTCTTTTGCTTTCGTTGCCCACCACTGCTCATGGTCGTTCCTTAGACTTCCGGTTAACCTAGATCTGATTTGTTTTCGCTCGTCATTATGTTCAGAGCCTGATGAGATGAGTTTACGGGAACCCATCAGTGCAATAGACTTAGAAGAAATCGATTGGTGTTTTTGTGACCGTTTGGTTTAAGTCACTAGTAGATTTCACTGCTGTTCCTAAATATGTACTCCAGAATGAGCGGCAATCTTCTATCGAGCAAGCGTCACCAACGATGACTGATGGCGATATGGTTTACCTGAATCCATCGTTGGACGATGTCTCTCCTTATGCTAAAAATGAATGTTTGCTCAACCGCGACTGATGTTCGCCAGCGTCTCTCACTGTGATCTTCACGATCTAATTTCATTATAGACGTCCTCCTAAAATAACAAAGCCATCCTTTAAATTTTCACGGGTCGATTATTATTATTAATGGCTTTATTCAATATTATATTTTGGTACAATATAGAATTCTCAGCACAGGAGGTTCACCTATCAACGTAGAATGTGCAGATGGTGTAGACTGATTTAGTGAGGACGCTGAAAAATTGTAGTTTTTCGACCGAGCACAATTGCAATACGGTCCTCTCCTAAACGCGAAATGTTGTTTCAGGATTGGTATGTGTCAACGCCTTAACTACTGATAAGTAGTGAAGTTGTTTAGTGCGTTGTCCTCTTCACTTGAAAATCGTACAAGCCGGGATTACTGTTTGAAGAAATCTCGACACGGGTTATAAGATTTCGGTTGGCGTATGCATTGCCCAGTAGTTTGCCTTTATTACTTCATGGCTACGAAACGAAAAGTTTGAAAGTAAATATGTGTAGGCTGTAAATTTTTGAACTCAACTATTCTCTAAACATTGTTCGTATTTTCGGGAACGACAGTGAGTAATGTTGAGGTTAGTTATAGGGCACTCGGAAAATCGATTGGTGAGGTTTTAAACCTTCATCAACCGAGAAGGTTAAGGCATGTGTCACGTAAGTCTTACCACCACCTTGTAGGACGAACGATGTTGATTCATGATTCAAATATCCAAATTCGGTTACTTCCTCAAGGAAATAAAACAGTTCTGCAGAATTTACTTTAGTATGTTATTGTAAACTGGTCCACCAGGGTGCTTGGTACCCGTGTGGTTGCGCCACAGGATTGACCTGTACTGTTCGGGTTGTCACGCGAAAGTCCGGATGGTGTCTGGTTCTCCTGAAAACCAATGTAAAAGTACCCTGGCCCACAAGGGTATATTATATAACCAACTGTGAATAGTATTGTAAACACCTACCAAGAAGAGTGAACACTCTATACCGTGACGTAAAATGGTGGCAACGATGGAGATAAGTCCGTATGACATGTCAGTGTACGTAGTGATGTTATGTTGGAAACAGATACTATGGTACGCCAGACAGCTGTATGGCGTTCCAAGATATAATGTCAGAAGAGTAGACTTAAGTATCGAAACCATGATTCTGCTAAACTTCATGAACTGATCTTAATTTAATAAATAAAAGCTATGGAATCAACCTGTCGAGAAACAAAGTTATTTAGTTCACAGTGATGTAGGGACGCTTAAACCACTGAGCTACATATTCGAACTTATAATACCTTCTGTATATACAGGGAAGTATCATTACCCCTCTTCAATAAATAATAGAGGGGAACGCCTGAAGGAGAAAACTTAATTTTTAAAACAAACTACTTCATAATGCCCAGGATACACAATAAGTGAATGGTATGAGATATTATTGAAGGAAATACCATAATACTAACGAGGACAACATTAAGACCGCTCACAAATGGGTAAAATCAGAAAGATAAACGTCAATATGCGAAACGGCTTTTATATTTTCTCTTTCAAGATATTAGGAACGTGGCAGTAAGAAAACTAGAAATTACTTATTAAAATTCATCAGCATAATTGACATGCATAATAAAATTTCAATCCTCACAATTAGATGATAATAAAAAGTAATAGTAGTACAAATTCTTAGGAAAATTTCCAAGTCTACAAACTGAAGATGCAGAAAACAATATGTATCCGTTCATTCCGAAACGAATAGTAACCAGTTTCAATGATGGGCAAAATCAGACACGCATATGATCCCACCAACTTTTAGTCCATTGAGAATAGAAAAACTTCCAGAGAACAAGAACTTACAAAAGTTTGAATATCAAATAGACATAATCATTACCACTGTAACAATAACACCAACAGATATAATCACCACATAAATGTCCACTAAGATGACAATTTAAAAGTGCTATTTTGTAGAAATCTCTTAAAGCCATTGTTAACACCTTATTTACAAGGTAACTGAAATATACGCAGAGATAAACCTATTTGATTCCCAAAAATTGTTAGTAAGAAATATAAACTAGTAGACCTGGATGAGAAGTTAAATATCTGGACAACAATAGGAGCACTTTTTAAAGCTGTGTAGGTATCAAGACAACGATAACTACCATTAAACGTATCATCTAGATGCAAAAACAATATATCTCAGTGAAAAGTAAGTAGTAACAATCTCGAAAAAATTCTAGAAGATAAAAAAACGTAATATAACAAATAACCTGGCAACGTATGTTCTCTTAATGAATAAGACGATGCACTGTGGAAGTTTACACTGGACATTCTGAAACATTCTTTTACTTGTGTACACATTCAAGAAATGGAAATTTAAAGCAATGGTGATATGAGAAAGACACATTTAAAACATAAATATGCATAATTATGATAACAGTAGTGTGATTATCTGTTATATTCACGTAAGTACATACATACATGTTCTTTGAAACATTTCGTTATCAAGACTAAATTATGGTAAGCAATACATGGACAGCTTTCTTATTATTATATCTAGAGAAATATAATTCCCTAAGATTTTTAAAAAAATGTACTACATGATTTCTTGAAAATAAGTATATGAAAAAACAAATGGTAAGGAATTTCATTCCTAATCATATGAAAAATGTGCGTAAAAGAACCATAGACGTATTTACATACATAAATATAGATATGTGTTATTGACGTGTGAAATTAGATTAAATAATCATTGAACGGTAACAATGCACATTAAATTTCACAGTTGTAGCGGTAACTTCGTTTCCTTATCAAGATTGTAGAAGAGAAAACAAGTAATTTCAAAAAGAAAATACACAATTTTAAAGCAAGTAAACAATTTTGACAGTTTTGAATAGAGAGAGTGTAGTGAAAATATGATATGAAACTAATAAAAGAAGTGACGATGGACACCACATTTACACTTGAATGTTGAAGAAAGGTTAGAACTATTAGTATTATATGCAGTATTAGCAATGGCTAAAGCTAGGTCTCCATGTCTGAACTCTTACACTCACGAGACAATTTGGGGGGTTCGCACTCTTCACCATAATTATTAATAGTTGTAGAATTGTAGTTAGATGAATCCCAGTGTCGTTTACGTGGTGGTAAATTCAATTGGTGACTGTAATCTATGTAATTAGGATGAAGAATTTTATGATTATGATTGTGGTGGTTGTGACGTTGAAAAAGGGGATCCGGATTATTCGCGTATTGACAACTATATGAAGAATCTGACATACTATAAACATTTCTGTTTTTATTAGTTTTAGTAACAGTAGGACAATTACTAACCGAAATACATGGTGTTTCACGAGAGAACTCATCAAGAATTAAATCTTGGAGAGAAGCATGCATTGACTTGGTATGAGAACGATAATTTGATTGAATAAGTGACATATCATAATCGGTTTTACATGTAATAAATGAACGATTCAGTTCGGGGAGTAATGAAGGATTATTATTACTATTACAATACTTATGTTTGTTGAAATCGATAGGAGATTTGGCGGATGATAATACACCATCCACATAAACATCCGAATGAATGTGCATAGGGAGTAAAGGTGGTGGAGGAGGTATATTCATGTGTTTATCAATTCTATGATTAGTGCCGTTATTAGTGGTATTATTAGTGTTGTTATGATTATTACTATTATCAGTAATAACTTTATGATCGCGATCTGCCTTATTATTGGTAGTGTGAACTGAAACGGCAGAATGGTTACCTGTATTCACAGTTTTTATTAATACCGGTGCAAATTTATGAACATCAGTATTATTACGCAAAACTGAAGGTGTACCGTTTGATGTTCTAAGCTTGACATTTGAAGATTTTATAGGATTCAGTGAATGCTGTTGATTCATTTCATGAGCGGATACTAAGTTATCTGAAGTGGCAATTGAAGGGATTCCGAATTTGTTACAGTTTAGTGTATTATGAGAAACTTTAGTTAACGATGGTGGTGGTGGTATCACTACTGAGTTCAGCGAAACAGCATTTCGATAATTTGATTCAGAAGAAGTGGAAGATGGTAACATATTGTCAGAATTATAATGAAATCCATTTTTATTTATTTCAGTTACTTTAACAACGTTTCCAGAGCAGATTAACTTATTCAATGTAGGATGTTGACTTTGAAATGAATTATCTGATTTAATCGTTGTTGCAGTGGCTAAAAGACGTGCAGCCTCAATATGGTGACGTCTCACTAATTCTTGATTGGCAGATGATAGTAGTGATATCTGGAAAGAGAAAGAAAACGACAAAGAAAAAAAGAACATGAAAAGGCACAAAAATGAAATTTTAGAGAAATATACTTAGCAAGAAAGTGTTTGGATGAAGAGTTTTCTTTTTAGTGAATCCATTCTTGAAGCTTTACAATCTCAAATATATACTTTTTTTGCAAAAACGGTAGTCAGTATATTTCTTCAATAATAATCTAATGAGAAGATAGTAATAAAGAAGCAAAATAACAGAAGCATAAAAATTTCATCCTCATTAAGAAACTGATGATGCAATTGTTCAGAGCAAGAATATATTCAACGAAAATAAATAAAGAACAATAGTTATGGAAAAGGCTGAATACATTTAAAAGACAAAATGTTGAAAGTGAATCTAGTCAGAAAGGATATGGAAACTGAAATAAATTGGTTAGGGGTAAGACGTGAAGAGCCTGACATGGATGTACGCCACCATGATTTATAACACACCAACATTAGATGGAACAAACAAAACGGATATTAAAGAAATCGAAATAATTATACTATCAATTACAATCAGGAATATTGAACAACGAGAATACAGTTCGGAAAGACAAAATGAAAAGGCACATATGAAGGGATATGCCAAACTACGTCTACATTTATTAAATATAGATATTTATGACAGGAAATATATGAATTGGCACAAATGTCTATGAGCTCAAGTTGTCACAATTTATATCGGAAAAATAAATAAAAATCGGTAGAGGTAGAAACTGCGCATAAGAAATATAAAACAGTTCAATTTAAATTGCATGTAATGAGAAGACCAACCAAGCTTATTCAACCTGTGTTATAATGGCCTAAAACAATTTGAACAACAACAATCCTATATTATCTTGTTAAGATAATTATCTGAGATAAAAAGGTCAATCAAAACAATCGAAAATATAAGAAAAAAGACCCGAAAATAATGATACTGAAGTATTTAGTGATGACAGCTGACAACATGATAGATTATAAACATTGTTTTATTATGACTATTCTATAACTGGTTGAGTTTAACCTGAGACTTCATTCATAACAAGTATGTCACCATCTGGTGAAGAACAATTAATTGTGCATTCAAAAAAGACTATAATATGGTTCATAAGTTTTCTTCCTGTGGCCTGTAATTGTCTCAACCAGATGGTACCACCCAAAACATGAAGTTAGTCGATGACTAATAAGCTGGGCCAGTCAAGCATATAACATGCCTATGCGCAGATGCTAATTAGAGGCCAAATGCTGGGTAAGATATGTTGATGGATCCAACCTATTGGTCAACTATCCAGTGGACACACGCGTGCATGAGCTTGTGTACAATCTTCAATTCAAGTGAGCCAGCAAAGGTTTTCATCCATCCCCTGTCTTTCCAATCAAGTACTAGGTTGAGCTCAAACATAACGATTGTACATATCGTGCAGCACAAGAATGACATTATATTTCAGTCTTATGATAACCAAAAGAAGTTTAGTTAGTTAATTGTTGTCACATCTGAGTTATAGACTAAAGTGCTATGAACATCTCGTTTTAACTGGGTTTCTTTTTCTAAGTGAGGTTGAGTTTGTAAGATGCACATTCCCCTTATGAAATCAGATGTGGCAGGATATGAAAACTTTAATTGACCTAAATACCATTACTTCAATCTCATAGATACCATAAAAAATTAACTGAACGTTGTTCTGAAGGCCTCCCTGTTAAGTCTGCATTTTAATTGTACTACAATTATTACGAGTGCATAGAGGACAGCAGACAGATGCGTTCCAAGTGAGGACCGGTATCCGACAAGGCTGTCTACTCTCCCCTTTCCTTTTTTCTAGTAGTCGATTGGATTATGAAAACCCCCACATCTGAGGGGAAGCACGGAATACAATGGACAGCTCAGAATCAATTAGACGACTTGGACTTCTCAGATGACCTGGCTCTTCTATCCCGTACACACGAACAAATACAAATGAATACAACTGGTGTAGCAGCAGCCTTTGCATCGGTAGGCAACAACATACACAAAGGAAAAAGCGTGATCCTCAAATACAACAAGGAGGACACCAAACCCATCACACTTGATGGAGAAACTCTGGAAGATGTAGAATATTTCACGTACCTGGGATGCATCATAGACGAACAAGGAGGATCGGATGTATACGTAAAGGCGAGGATTGGCAAAGTAATGACCGCATTCCTACAAATGAAGAACATATGGAACTCAAAACAACTGTTAACCAACATCAAAGTCAGAATCTTCAATACGAACGTCAAAACAGTTCCACTGTATGAAACTGAAACTTGGAGAACTACCACAACCATCATCGAAAATGCACTAGTATTTCTAAACAACAGTCTACACAAAATACTCGATATGCGTTGACCGAATACCACCAGCAAGAACTTACTGTGGGAGAGAACAAACCAGCTTCCAATTGAAGAGAAAATTAGGAGAAGACGATGAAAGTGGATAGGACATACATTACGGAAATCACCAAACTGCATCACGAGGCAAGTCCTAACTTGGAATCCAGAAGGGAAACAGAAAAGAGGAAGACCGAAGAACACATTACATCGGGAAATAGAAGCAGATATGAAAAGGATGAATGACAACTGGAAAGGACTGTCCAGGACAGGGTTGGGTGGAGAGTGATGATGAGCGGCCTATGCTCCTCTGCGAGGGTTAACAGGCGTAAGTAAGTATCCAGTCAACCACCAGAGAAAATAAAAAAGATAAGAGTAAGAAGCCTTTTCTGACGCCGGTCCTCACTTGTAATTGATCTATCAGATGTCTCATATTTCCTTCTCTTACGGTTTTTTCCGTTGTCACTTCTTGATCTTCCACATAGTTCTGCTTGTCAACTCCAATGCTTCACTTCACTTGCTTGTTTGCTTCTGCGTATTCAGCTTGTGCCTTGATTGCCTCTGCTCTTGTTCGGTCGTTGTTAATTGCTTTCTTCTAGTTCTTGCTTTCTTGAATCTTGTCCAGGGTTGCCATGGAGATCCATTCCTTACGATGATGTTTCTTGCGGCCCAGTACTTCCTAACACGTTGAATGTACATAGATTTGCAAATATCACATTATTCCCGTTTTCCTCTCCCAGTTCATGTCATTTCATGATATATTCTTACCTGATGATGTCCATCCCGGCTTTTGACGTTTAGGTCTCCCATCAAAATGGTCAGGTCCTTTCTGAGTACTTCGCTGCGATCGATTGCAGCCTCTCGTAAAACTGATCTTTATCGTCGTCGATGGTATCATTGGTTGATGCATTAATTTGGCTAAAATTAATTGTGATTCCTTCTTTCTTTTTTTAGAACAATGATTTGATGATCCTGGGTCCATGAAATTCCTATCCCTAAAGTGAGTTTCGTGCTTCTTTGGACTGCATCAGTGCAACTCCCTGCGTGTGAGGAGTATTTTCTCCCTCGTGACCAGAGTAAAGTAGCACCTCTCTCTTCAATGTAATCTTTTCTGTGCAGCTTGGATCCAATAGGTTTCTGTGATTCCGACCACCGACAAGTTGTATACCAATAAAAATTTGTTGAACTTCATCAACGAAGATAAGAATTATCCTGAACACTACTACGGTTAATGTATGAATGATCAGATAGTGATATCACTAACATCTGGTAGGAAACTTTTGGATTAATTGTGCTTAGAAGATTTGGAAATTTGAAAGATTAAGCCTCTAGTTACAATCACATGTTATTACCCTTAGATGAATGCTGATATACTTCCAGTACAAGTCGATTGTTGAATTTGTGTTGTTAAGATCAGAAATAAAACTTGCTAATGGATAATATTGATTAACTTTATGCTAGGAAAAGCAACATAATAAGGCTAACAACCGTGGATCATTTTAAATAAACATTATGCTCGTATTGTAATAGATTCAATTTTCAAGTGACCAGTGTTTTAGATGACCTCTACAAACAAAAGATATACAGAACAAGAATACCATGAATGACTCAGAAAAAGTTTCTAAACCTCTAGTTGCTAACCAAAAAATACGGTTGTCTTTATAATAAGCTCGGGAAGATTGCATGTCCAAATAAAATAGCAGACGTCCTAGTGAAAAAGTTTAAAATTACATTAGATTATAAAAAGTAAAGAATGTTTGATAAAAATAACAATCACAACGAAAATTTACTTTGATAAAAAATAATAGCACAACAAAGGAAAGTCATGCCATAATATAAAAGCCCACTCAACTACTGTATTATTTGTCTGCTCACTGAAATTTAGACACTTAATCCACTAGGTAAAATTATGTGTGAGTCTGATTGAGCGCTTGTCTGCACATCAATCTTTAATCTATTCTCCCATTGGATGTAATACATAGAAAATCAATAATTTATCCACAACGAATTAACATTCAAAAATGCATATCGGTTTTTAATACATACATACACACAGACACATACACTCTAACTCGTTTCCTTGTGTGGTAGACTTTTTTAAGAATAAAATATCTTTACAACTGATGTTCAGACTTTTGAACAATCTCCAGGATATCCACGATTATACTAAAAAATAAAAACAGCGCTAAATACTTAGTGAACGGGATACCATTTATTGAATTCAGATACACAGAAAATAAGCGTCTAAAAAAACTAATATTTTAGGAATCACTTCCAACAAATAAACAAACAACATACGCAAGCCTATACATGACAATTCATAAAACTAAATACAGAAAATTCATTTATTCAACTACTATTTATACACCACATATTTCCTACGCGCAAAATTTATAAATAAATCACAAACTGTAAAATAATCTAACGCAACAAGGTAGTCATTCACATGAAATTGGAGAAAGTATATGATTTCAGGTGAAACATTGATAGAATCTATGAACAAAACTTTAAGAGCGTGTAGGCTACTTGGTGAAATATAATCAAATATTTTCGAGAAGAACAAATCATAGCCATTTCAACAGATAACAAAATTATGATTCAATGACGATTTGTATCATTAGTGAGTAATTTTAGAAGGGTGAGGTAGCACTGAAAAGCTATTTTCATATTACTCCATAATTTATTTACAGAGTACAGGTTCAATTACACAGTTTTGAGCGACTGTGTTTACTTGAGGGCTAGTGATAATACACAAATTGACCAATGGAAGTACATGGAGTGAGGATCGAATTTTTGAACAACTGATAGAAAGCTGAATGCTTTAACCGATAGTCAATCGCTCCACATTCATAATACTACAACATACAACTAACACTGGGAACTGTTAACCATGGTAGAAAAGACCTATATACTAGTTGAATTTACAATCACTGTAATGGCTTATAAATAGACTTGGCATTAAGTGCATATACAGAATAGATAATAACCTTTACACCTAAGTATCTTGATTATTGCCACTCATCAAGAAAGAGGGTCTGCAAATCATAAAGAAACTGATTTTAACCTGTAATATTCAGTAAGCATTACCATTTAGCTATCCAAGTATTGGATAATCCCCAAAACAAGATATCTAAACACTGATCGATTTATTTTATTTAATAAACATAAAAATCTGGTACAACTAGGCACCGAAAAACGTGTGCGCCACATACATAGATACACAACAATGTGAAGAAATAAAGGATACAGACCAATTAAATACAGACATAGATAACTTTTTTTTGAGAAAGATAACTTTATTTTTACTAAAAACTATAAATACCTGACAATTGTGTACTATAATTGACACTGTTGGAATAATATTCCTTTCATTAGTCTTCTGTCTTCTTATTGCGACTTGGAAGGGTTTTGGTGTTCTAGTGCTCAGTTATACGCGGTATATCAAGAAAACAAACTTCAAGATATAACATGTACTCAGCTTTGAGTCGAAGTTTAATTTATGAGGGTTGGTAACACTGCCTGACTATTCAAAACCGATTTACGTAGAATAGATTAGAACTGGCAATCTAATGGTTGAAGGTTGATGAATTGTATGTGAAAAATAAAATGGCTATGAAAATTGTAAACATAACGACCACATAACTACATCCATGCATACTGTGAAGAACGTACCTGCCTTCGAAATTCAGCAATCTTCTCCTCCAAAACATGATGCTGTTTGATTAACCTTCGAGCTTGAGAGAAAAATGCAGCCGGTGTGGTGATTAGGATACCTAGCTGTTTTGTTTTTTCAAGGTAAGAAGTTGAAAATAAACAACAAAAATAATCACTCTGAAACAAATGTGGTGGCAAAGAATAATTAGAAGTAAAATTATTCAAAATATTTAGTAACGTATTTGAAACCTTGCGCTTCTAGCTCCCTATTTAGATTATCAGATTATCTTAATCTTACATTTGTGATACTGTTAATTGCTGTTGACCCCTATTACAATCAAATGTAAATGTATTTAACGTACTTACTAAGTCTTCGGTTTACTTTTTATTTCGTTATGTTTTCGTTGAAATTCTTATTCACACACTACTTTCTATATTCCCGCAGTAAACAATGTACCTTCAGGCTGGATTCAAATCTACTTAATGCTGAACGTTACAATATAACATTTTGAAAGACATGTGTAATAGCGAACTTTAGTTCCTATTATTATTATTATTATTGTCGCATTTAGATGTACCACGACCTCATGAATGACACTCCGAAGCCATAGGGTAGGTGAAAGCAAAAGTTCAAACAAATGCAATAATCCATAAAAGTGTTTTTCTTAAGTGCATCCACGAGCATTATCATTCAAGGCTACTAAGATAGAGAATGAGATCGAACTTTTGAAAATCTTAGTACCCAAATGTATAATTATTGCAGCAAAGTTTTCCGATTTCATATGTATTTTTCTAAGTACCCACGTTAAGTGAATAAGTTACTCATGTGCTTTCACAAAGAGGACACAACACGACGCTAAACAGTAAATAATGCAACTAGAGGCATTTTAGTGGCTGGTTTCTTTTTCCTTTCGCTTGTTCTTTAAAAAAGAAGATATATATATATATATATATATATATATAATGAGACGAGAATGTTTTATAGGGATAGCATTGATGGAAAAAATTTGTCATTAATCATGAATGTTATATAATCATTGACGTTAAACGCTTCTTACTATAATAAAATAGAAAAAATATATTTGTAAAGTCGCAACAATAACAACTACTACTTCTTAATGAAAAAGATAATCGCGAGGATACTGGTAATATGATTGGCGAATACCATTCAAATACATAGAAAATGAAGAACATAAAATAAAATAATATTGATGAAACATGATTTTTTTATGATGTGTGGGCGAGAATGATAATGATTGGTTGTCTGCTTAGTCAGAATGCAGACAGTCTGACAGGTGTCAGATGAATTATATATTCTTCTATCCTTATAGTGATTATTATTGATTGCTCATTGCTGTTGGATTGTGTCGGGTTTTGGTGTGGAAATATATTTACGTTCTAGTCAGGCTAGTCACGTATTCTTGATCTGAGTTGTGTTGAAGTCCTGTAGAACAGACATTGGGAGGGAATCTAGTGTAGATATTCGTCTAAGGTAAATTAACGTCCCATACGTGTAAACGTGGAAAACCAACCGTTATATTAATTTACCATTACTGTATAACATAATTATGCAATGAACGGTATATACACAGACTACTATGGCATAAGAAAGAAAGTCAATCATAAGTAGAGAACATAAATTCAAGTAAAATAGGTTAACCGACATTTAGTCTGAATCACCAAATAAAATCATTTGCACAGAATGAATGCAACCAATTCATTTCAGTATCGATGACAAGTCTAACTATTCGCTAACGATCTAAAATAGGATTTGTCTTTAAGTACGGTTTCATAATTTACAGATCACTGTTTTCCAATAAAACTTAATGACTAGCTTCTTCAAAGAAATGTCGGTAATTGTTAATAACGGACATAAACTATTCAAATGAATGTGAAGATCAAAGAGTCACCATTCAAATTAAAAGTAAGTATATTATCATTAGAATGCATAAATAAACTTACGCGTTTTGTGAACCGATTTAATAAATCTGTCCCATCTGAATGCAATTTAGCGATAGACTGTTCCAAAATTTTTGTGTGTTTTAATAACTCAGCTTGTCGATTGTATTCGCGCTCAAGTTCTGATTGAATTGTTGATGCGTAGGCGGGGGAATGTAGCATGGCAAAATGGTCCATAAATGCTTGTTTAGTCAATTCTAAAAGCGAAAATGGATTTGTTCGGATTAAAAATAGGAAGGACTTGTATGAAATTAAAGATATGAAGTATCATAGATAGTCTCACTCGGGTATTCTTGCTGTGCAAAAAACACTCGTCAACAGCACGAGTATATATTTGGAAAATTTCAATAGTAGAACTGATAAATCCAATTTGAATTATAAAACATATTTTGTGTTCAAATAAATAAATATGTGTTTTTGATTCACTAGAGAACACATTTTGAAACGACTGTCAACTACATCTATGGTTTCAAGACTTGAATTGACATCTTCACGACACTTTAGCTGTAGTAACAAATTACATAAAATTAAGAGGATATACGAAGTAAAGAAAAACAAGAAACCCTACTAATAACGGGAACATCAAAATGTTTAACAACCTAACAACGTTTGAAATGAATACATTAAATAGTGACAAATTTAGAGCATAAGGAAGCCTACACTTAACAATTCATAAAACTAAATACAGAAAATTCATTTATTCAACTACTATTTATACACCACATATTTCCTACGCGCAAAATTTATAAATAAATCACAAACTGTAAAATAATCTAACGCAACAAGGTAGTCATTCACATGAAATTGGAGAAAGTATATGATTTCAGGTGAAACATTGATAGAATCTATGAACAAAACTTTAAGAGCGTGTAGGCTACTTGGTGAAATATAATCAAATATTTTCGAGAAGAACAAATCATAGCCATTTCAACAGATAACAAAATTATGATTCAATGACGATTTGTATCATTAGTGAGTAATTTTAGAAGGGTGAGGTAGCACTGAAAAGCTATTTTCATATTACTCCATAATTTATTTACAGAGTACAGGTTCAATTACACAGTTTTGAGCGACTGTGTTTACTTGAGGGCTAGTGATAATACACAAATTGACCAATGGAAGTACATGGAGTGAGGATCGAATTTTTGAACAACTGATAGAAAGCTGAATGCTTTAACCGATAGTCAATCGCTCCACATTCATAATACTACAACATACAACTAACACTGGGAACTGTTAACCATGGTAGAAAAGACCTATATACTAGTTGAATTTACAATCACTGTAATGGCTTATAAATAGACTTGGCATTAAGTGCATATACAGAATAGATAATAACCTTTACACCTAAGTATCTTGATTATTGCCACTCATCAAGAAAGAGGGTCTGCAAATCATAAAGAAACTGATTTTAACCTGTAATATTCAGTAAGCATTACCATTTAGCTATCCAAGTATTGGATAATCCCCAAAACAAGATATCTAAACACTGATCGATTTATTTTATTTAATAAACATAAAAATCTGGTACAACTAGGCACCGAAAAACGTGTGCGCCACATACATAGATACACAACAATGTGAAGAAATAAAGGATACAGACCAATTAAATACAGACATAGATAACTTTTTTTTGAGAAAGATAACTTTATTTTTACTAAAAACTATAAATACCTGACAATTGTGTACTATAATTGACACTGTTGGAATAATATTCCTTTCATTAGTCTTCTGTCTTCTTATTGCGACTTGGAAGGGTTTTGGTGTTCTAGTGCTCAGTTATACGCGGTATATCAAGAAAACAAACTTCAAAATATATCAACCGGCGACGGAGTTATCGCATCAAGATGTCATTTACCTTTGAACAATTTGAAGCCTTGCTGGAACGTCAAAAAAACGTTTCGAGCAGTTCCAGATTCGCATGATAGAGACGCTAACCCAGAAAATGAACCTGAATCAAAAAGAAGTTACAGATGATCCCTTCAGATCTCTTGTTGACCGCATCATTAATTTCATCCATGAATTTAACTCCGAAGGTTCGGCTGGCATTACTTTTGAACCCTGGTTCAAGAAATATGAAGATTTGTCTAAGGTCGACCTCAAAAAACTCGATGACGCCGCTAAGGTCAGAATACTCTTACGAAAACTTGGAACGGTTGAACATGAACGTTACAGTAACTTTATCCTTCTACAGAATCCACGAGATTTTTCTTTTGATGCAACGATTGAAATTTTGTTGCAAATCTTTGCTGAACAGTCATCCTTGTTTAATATTCGTTACCAATATCTTAAGATAACAAAGGCAGGTGATGATGACTGTGTGAATCATGCGGGGCTGGTAAACTGTGAATGTGAGCGCTTCAAACTATCAGCAATGACAAAAGATCAGTTTAAGTGTCTCGCGTTTGTGTGCAGCCTCCAATCTCCCGAAGATGCTGATATTAGAACCAGAATTTTGAGTAAAATTGAACAATGCCCGAATATGGCACTACAATAAGTAAATACAGAGTGCCAGAGATTGGTAAACCTAAAGCATGACACTTCCATGGTTGAAAATAATGGCCAGTTGCCATACGTTCATGCTGTAAGCGGAAAGAAAGATTCATGCCCAAGAAAACTATCACACACAGACAATCAGCCCTCATCCCCATGTTGGTCTTGTGGCGGTTGCCATTATAAAAGGTTCTGCCCAAATAAAGAGCATTGTTGTAGCAAATGTCATCGGAAGGGATAATGGCGAACTTCCCATCTAAGAATAGAATTAATCTGAGTTGCCCGATTTCGCTATCCCTCTTCAATTCTAAACATTCATTAAGGACATAGCCTCTTAATCTGATAATCACATGAAGTTACTTCAAAGAAACCTTTCATTTCAAGGACATTATTAGGTTGGTGAATATATCAGACCGTAGCATCAACCTTCACATGATAGTCGGATTTGCCTATCACAGTGACCCTTAATTACTCCTGTTAACACCCGTGAATCATAGGTCACCGACCAGCATTCTCCAACCTACTCCGACCTTAGACCTTCTTACAAGTCGTCCCCAAGCGCTATTCTTTTGATGTCGATCTCCAATTACCGAAGCTACGTGTTTCTTGATCTATCTCCATTCCTTTTGCCTTCAAGATTCCAAGTAAGGGCGTGCTTTGGGATGCAGTTTGATTATTACCGCGATGTGTCCTATCAACCCAGGTGTCTTTTCTTAGTTTCCCCTTCAACGGAGGGGTGATCTTCCTCTGCCACAATAAGTTATTGCTGACAGTGCCTGTCCAATGGATTTAATGTCTTGTGTAGAAACCTGTTTATAAATACTTGTACCTTTATATTGATGGTTGTAGTAGTTCTTCAAGTTTAAACCCCGTATAATAAAATTCTACCGACGTTTGCATTGAAAAACTTGACTTTGGTGTTGGCTGAGTCGTTTTGAGTCATACGTATTCAATTATAGTAATGCTGCCCTTGATTTCCCGATCCGTGCCTTCACATGTGCATCGAATCGCCCTTGTTTATCAATGATACTCTCCAAGTGTGTAAAGAATTTTCACCTCTTCTACAGCTTCTCCATGGTAACCCATTCGAATTATAGTGGCTAGAATACTTGTTTCTATAAATCCTATTATGCCAGGAACGTCGATTCGAGAATGGTGAGCAGAAAGCTCATGGTCCGAAGGCAAAGCGGTACTACCGATTGTATAGAAGTGTGGCGGAAGTAGGATGTTACCCTCAGACAATCAGAACCTTCAGGAAAGAAATCGGCGTGAGAAAAGATGTCTTTTCGTCATCTCCGCCTATGCCCCGACAGATTGCAGCCCGGATGCAATCAAGGATGAGTTTTACCACCAGTTATCAGTTCTTCTCCAGAAAGTGCGTTCGACAGATATTGTAGTACTAGCCGGAGACTTGAATGCTCAGGTCGGGCGTCTAGGCACAGAAGAGAGTCGTTTAGGTGGCCGATGGGGACTCGTTGGTCGCAGGTCAGATAACGGGGACCGTCTACTGCAACTTTGCACAGACCACAACCTGTTTCTGGCTAGCACTAACTTTCGGCACAGTCATCGCCGATGTGCCACCTGGCGTCCTCCCTCTGCATCTCAAGCCTGGACTCAGATTGATCACATCGCGATCAGCTACCGCTGGCGTGGTTGTGTACAAGACTGCCGCTCCTTTTGGAGTACCTATCTGGACTCTGACCATGTCTTGGTCTGCGCCAATCTTACCTTACTTTTCAGTGGACAACGAAGTGAACGCCATCAACGGATTGATGTTAGCAAGCTGGTTGCAACTTCTGTTGCAAGTAAGTATCGAACTGAGCTAGCCTCTAGGCTAGCTACCACTCCACCGAAAAGTATAGATGAGCATTGGTTGCAATTGCATGACGCCATGAAAATGGCGGGAACAGTCAGTTGTGGGTTTGCGAAACGTCCCGCTTTTAAGCACTGGGTTTCTGCAGGTTCCTTACAACTAATTGAAGCCCGTCGGTCTACTCCGGGTGACCGTGAGTTTGACCATAAACGAAGGATGCTATGTAAGGAAATCGGGCAAAGCTTGCGTAAGGACCGAGAAGCCTGGTGGTCGATGCGTGCTAATGAGCTGGAAGCAGCAGCTGCATCTGGTAACTACCGGAAGCTCTTCCAACTCATCCGAGCCACTAGCAGCAAGAAGTCTGGTGTGAGTGAAACAATCTGCGAGGATGATGGGATGCCAATCACTAACATCCACCGACGTCTTGGACGATGGGCAGAATTTTTCGAAGGGCAGTTCAACTGGCCTGCTGCTCCGGCAACATCGGTCAGACTGTCCTGCCCTCCATGGCCGGTGACGACTGATCCACCAAATGAGGAGGAAGTCCGCAAGGAACTCCAACTCTTGAAGCGTTACAAATCACCTGGCCCAGATGACTTACCACCGGCTCTTTTTAAAGATGGTGGTGACTTTTTGACTAAGGAATTGACGACGTTGTTTACAAAGGTTTGGGAGCTGGAGAGTGTACCAACGTCATGGAATGAGTCGATAGTTGTCCCTATCTTTAAAAAGGGTTCACGTCGTTCCTGTAACAACGATCGGGGGATAAGTCTACTTCCGACTGCGTCCAAATTATTGGCTTCCGTCATACTCCGTAGGTTGTTCAAAACCCGAGAAAGATTGACTCGCGAGGAGCAGGCTGGGTTTCGTTCTGGTCGAGGATGTATTGAT